TAATATTGTCTTTGAAAAGAAAAAAAAACATGTTCTTTGAGTGCAAGTATCTATTCGGTCATCCACTAGCTACGTACTTGAGCTATTCTACAGAAGGCGGCTTCACCAGACTTGGTTATAGTGGTCTTGCAACAGTTTACGAGGTGGCCAAGGATATTTTCTCCCAAGCACATGGGTGGCAATCTAGTCTACAAATTGATAGTCAAATGTGTCGGTCTCTTTCTAGTCTTGTGGCTATGTGCCTCTTGTTAGGCAGAGGCCAAAAGTACGTTTTTAAGGCTTTGTATCATCTTTATGTAATGCTTTGAGAATTTAATAAAAGCTTCCTTTATTAAAAATACATCGTGCATCCATTGAGTATGACACGATTTGTTTTTAGTTCATGTTTACCACTATTAAGAAGGTTTTCCGTTCTTTTGAATCATACCTTAGAAGAAATTCAAGCAGGAACACCTCAAAGTGGAGTTCAATATGTAGCGCATCAGGGATTTGCTGAACAGTGTTGCAACCTACAATAGGACTACATGAGAAAGTTGAGCATGGAACCATCGATAGATCGAGCGGAGCTTATAACAGAATCTTGTCGGAGAGAACTCATGAGTTTGTTGACGCCGAGTTGGGTCACCACACCAGTAAGGAGCTAGATCGCTCGATGTAGGGCCTAGCACAATATGCAAGACACATCGTCGGAGGAGCCTCGTCAGGAGCATGATACGCAAGACACGCCGACGAGGTTTCTTGAAACCCAAAACCCCACATGCCCGGGAAGGACCCTGTCGAGGCGTGCGGTGGCTATGGGCTGCCCTAGCTGGATGAATCAGTTATTAGGAACTATAGACATTCTAAGGTTGCATCTTCAGAATACAAAGTAGAACTCTATTGGTCCAAGGCAAGCAACAACTCATTTTTTTTGGATAATGGAAGAAAAGCAACAACTCCTATATATCAATGTGTCCGTCTAATATTTACTTTCCAGTTTTGTTGTAGGTTCTCCATTCTGACTCTAATTTTCAATGAATAAACAATGATTGTAGGCTACCTAAAATGCAGCACATGGCTCTCTGTAACTCTGCTACGCCAGCGAAGTGATTACAAGGTAACACAAAAAGTTTCGAGCTACTCTACTGTGTGCTATTTTTGGGAGAACAGTTTTCATCTGCTTTTTTATATGTATAAAAAGCTAATATTAGTCCATATACAAGAGAAGCTGCAGAGACCACCTCGACATGAATGTAACACCCCAAAATTTGATTATTTGGAAATAGAGCTAAAATGATTTAATTTGGAATTTTTGTGCTCATGAAAACATAGAAAAATAAAAATTTTCCTTAAATTAAAATTCATCATAGGATGTAGCAACATTGATGTGCATCCATGCTAGTGCATTTGATTTATTTCAATGAGTGGTTTGGATCCAAAATTCAAAATGATTTCAAATGCGTTTGAAATGATTTGAAAAGTCCTTGAAATAAAAGAAAAAGGAATTAAAAAGAAAAAACTCTCCCCTTCTCAGTTTTGGCCCGCAGGCCCAGCTCCCACACCCTCGCCTCACGCGGCCCAAGCACCAGGCCGAGCCAAGCTCCACCTCCATCCCGCTGGCCCGCTTCCTCCCCTCCCTTTCTCCCTCTTGGGCCGCCCCGTCTTCACCCGTAGCCCAGCAGCAGTGTCGGCCTAGCTCTCCACGCGCCGCCCTGGCCCAGGACCGAAGGCCCGCGCGCGATCCCTCCCTTTCTCTCCCTCTCTCGGTCTGACGTCCGGGACCCGTGCCTTCTCTCGCTGACAAGCTGGGTTCACCTGTCGGCGCCGTCTTCCTCGCGTCGTGCTCGAGCAGGACTCGACCGAGGGAAGGAAATCTCCGCTGCCGCGCCCATATCTTCCGAGATTTTGGGCATGCGCGCAACGTCAGGCCGCCCTATATAAGCCGCCACCGTCCCAGCCATAGCTCGCCGCACCGCACCCGAGCTCGAAAACCTAAAGCCGCCGCCGCCGCCGTTCGATTCGAGCGACCCGCCGCTTCGCCGTCGACGAGGAGCCCCTGCTGCGCTTCGAAATACGGTAGGGAGGTCCCCAGTACCCGCCCTCGTCCTGTCTCGTTTTCTATCACCGCTACGCTGCCGCCGTTGCTTCGCCGGAGCCCCGAGCCGCTCGAGAGAGCTCCGCGCCGCCTTGGTGCCGTCGCGGCCCTCCCAGACCTCCTAGTCGCGCTCGCCGTCGCCCGCTCTCCATTTCTGTGCTATCCCCGTGATCTATGAAGTCCGTAGTCGCCGATTCGACGAACTCCGGTGAGGTCTAAACCCGGCCGGCCATGGCAGCCGCCGCAGCTGTCACTGTTGCGGCAGTCTGTCACTCTCTCTCTCCCTCTCCCTCTCCCATCTAATCTGAGCCGTTCATCTCAAATCCAGCAGCCGAGAACGGCCAATACCCCTTCGGCTGGAATTTTTATTAAAGAGCCCCTCCCTTTTTCTGAATTCAAACCCGCCGTCCCTGCCCGAGTTTAAAATCTGATTTTGGATTTGTTTTAATTCGAATTAAGTTCCAACTATTTACAGCTTTGCCACTACCTTCTTTAGGCCATAACTTCTACGTTTTAGCTCCGTTCAAGTTGCGTTAGATTCGTAATGACGCAATCTACGTGATAGTAACCATGTTTAACATGTTTTGTGCTTTAAAATTAAATATTAATCTAATCAATTTATATGCAATTAGTTTTCCAATTAAAAGCAACTTACATTTTCTACTTCGACCTTTTCAAGTAAAAATAAGATTAGATCTATTTTAGTTTTTCAAATCAAATATAATTTGGCTTAATTAAATTTAGATATCTCTCTGAAATATCTTATACATGCTTTTATATAATGAAGTTCATAGCTTTCTTGTTTTCTCTTAAGAAGTAAATCTTACTAGTAGATGTTTCTTGCCCACCATGACTTCGATTAGCATGCTTTTCACATCTATGTGTTCATAGCGATACGTAGTTTAGTTTTCAAGCAATTTCGTTGATTGGTGTATTGTTCTAATCTAGTCATATTTGTATGTTATGCATGTTTGTGCTTGGATGCTTGTGGTGCATTATGATCTTGTCCAGTCGCTGAGCTATACGTGGTGAACCAGAAGCAATCCTTTGAAGCTTTGGACTAAAAGAAGGATATGAGTTTAAGATAAGTATAGCATGGGATCATCCTTGTTGTCCTATTCACCTTAATCACTTAATTTCATACTGCATGTGCTTCCTTGTTACCATTAAGGATTACCTAGCCTTGAACTTATACCTTGACACTTTTTGGTTAATGTATTGGGTAGTATGAAGCTAGTGCTCCACTTAAACCATGATCTTGTAACTTGACTAATGGTATATGTAATAACGTTAAAATATGTTTTTTAGCAACTTGGCTTAAGAGGGCTGGAGCATTGGGTTTTATGGTGCTCTAGATTGCTCTTCCTAAGAACTTATCTGTAAGTGATCATCCGGGACTTACAGTACAGCTGTGAGGGTCACATGGCTCTGGCTTTAGTCAAGTATGAAGACCTTTTTCTAACTTGTTAGTGGTTACCCGAAAGGGTGCAAGAGGGGCTTGACGAATCGGGTATAGTGCGGCCTCTATCCTCATGTGTATAGCATGCGCGAAATGTGCCATTTGAAAGGGGAGCTCTACATATGTTTGTCAATTAAAAACCTAGCGGCCCTAACTTGTTAGACGAACCTTTGAAAAACTTCATAGTGAACCATGCCTGCTCACCTTGAAAGTGTGTTGGGAGTTATAAACCCGTGCATATGGGTAATCACGACTCACAGTGAAAGTGTACAACCTCTGCAGAGTGTAAAACTAGTATATCAGCCGTGCTCACGGCCACGAGCGGCCTTGGAACCCTTGTGGAATAGATGATCACTATTAATTATTTGTTTATTCTATTCATTATTCATGTTTACCTGATCATATGTTTATACGGGCTTGTGATAAACTTGTTGCTACTCTACTGCTAAAATTTTGACTCACTAAAAGCTAATCGCAGTTAAACCAGTGTCAACCTTTTGAGCCTCATGAACCCCATGTTATATTTGTTGAGTACGACATGTACTTACGCTTGCCTTTATATTTTACTTGGATAAAAATCCCGGATGGTTACCAGATTGCTAGAGTTTGGAGGAGTTAGGCTTGTGAACAACCAGTCAGTTGTCCCTGTGGAGTGGAGTCTTCACCTGAAGATCGGAGTTGTCTTGCAGTTGTTTGCTGTCTAAGATTATATCCTTTATACTAAGTACGTTATGTATTAAGCATTGTTTATTGATATTATCTCTATTTGTAGCCATATGTGTGATTTGACTTCCTGAGCTCACATATGGTGTGTATCTGGTTTTGTTCTTAAAACCGGGTACTACAATTAATCACCAACTAAACTAAAACATTACACCTCTGACATCCTAACAATTAAGTATCTTATATGTGTATTTCCTCAAACGATGTAGATGCTCGAACCTCATTCCATTATCTTAAAAAAATATAGATAAAGCATCCAAATTAAATGGAACTTTTGGAGTATATAAAACTATAAATAGCCACCATCCAAAAGAACTACATGTGACTATTCAGGACCTTGCCGATCTGGTTCTACCTAATTTTAAAACCACATCTGTTTACTTTTATCTACTGGAGTGCCAAAAGGACAAATTTTAGGATCATACTCCAACACCTGAATACTGATATCTTGGTTAAACATTTTCTGTTCTACTGTGCCAATGTTGTCTTTTTTTGTTACCATCACGGCATTATACAGTGCCAAATGTCTGAGTATAATGAAGTCAATAGTAACTAATCTTAACACGGTACATATGATTGAAGAAAAAAATCTTCCTTGGGCAGCACAGAACTGCTTAATCAGGATTCAAGAGAGAAGTATCTTTTTCTGGTACTGTTCAAGACCAAAATCTCAGCATCCTGTTATCATCAATCTCTTTTCTGCTCGAACATGGGAAAGCAAACACACACACACAAAAAATTAGTTTAGCAAATGCCAGACTCCAAAACCTTGGTAAACTCTGCAACATCTATTCTCCCGTCCTTGTTCGTGTCATACTTGGCGATCATCTGCTCGCACTCATCCACCCCTACACCTTCCCCTAGTCCTAGACTCTTGAGCACTCGCTGCAAATCCAACGCGTCGAAGTACCCATTGTTGTTGTGATCAAACACCAAGAATGCCTGCTGTACCTCCTGCAAGCTCGGCTCGTCGTCATCGAAAATCCGAGCTATAGAATCATTGCCAATGGCCATGTTGTTCTCTTGATCCAAATTAAAACCTATGTTTCTCATTACCGTCTTGATATCTTCTTGTGTCAGCGCCTTCTCATCGTCTTGATCTTTATTCCTTCTCTCTATTTCTTCTTTGTCTGTGGTAATAACCGGTGTCTGTGTCACCTTCTCAGCAGAGCTATGGTTGCAGTTGCAGTTGCAGTTGCAGTTGCAGGATTTGCATGAGCAGGGGAGGAGAATCTGCAACACTGAGACGGACCAAGCGAGGAATTTGAGGAAGAGGTTGATACCACATGCCTCTTGGAGAACCAAAAAATGGCATGCTGCAGCGCACGATGAATTCTCCATTGCTGTTGCCTCGTAAGCTTCTGGGCTCGATCTGAAAGTTCTTGTTCCTTTGGTGAGAATAGGCTGTTGTCAGAAAATGGAAGTAAAGGTCAGAAAATTGAATGGGAGAAGGGAAACGTAGCACGGGAGGTTATATAGGAAGCAAGGTCACCTTTTTTTTTCTTTAGAATCAAGTAAAGGTCATCTTGAGCTTTTGCTGATTGTTGTCTCAGCAGAATTAATCTGAAACATCGAAGCAGATGACAAGATGTTTCCTCTTTGAAAATACGTGTGGACAGCAAGATGATGGTGATTGACAGATTCAGAGTCTTGGTCTTGGTATTTATTCTTTCTTGTAACTTTCGTCACGCTGATCATGGAAGCTTCCTGGAAAGTGAGGAGTGAACAACTCTCTGTTCTCTCTCTCTCTTTCTCTCTCTCTCTCTCTCTCCCTCTCTCTCTCTCATTCACTCACTTAAGTCTGATACATTTTTTTTCATTTTGAGAGTCCTTTAGAGTAAGCACTGATGTTATGTTTGTTGTTCTAGTTTGAAGAGAAGGTTATTAGACGTGGGCTGTGCGTAGATGTTGCGGAAGACGAATGCAGTATGAACTGTTTTTTTCTTAGACAGCGATGGACCACAACGTTGTAGAAAAAAAATGCACAAATTTGCATTCTTCGGCTGCAAATAAATGTTGTTTCAGTTTCTTTTCATCTAGACGCAAACAGTTTTTATTGGGCAAAAAAGTCAATTATATTTACCTTTGAACCCTTACCTCAGTCCTATGTACTCGTAGCTTTTGCTATGCACTTAGGTTCCATTTTGCACAGCTCCCCTTCACCGGTGAAACTGTTAGTTTTTCTTTTCAGCTCTCGACGAGCATCTCTACCGATAGAATTGAAACTATTTTGATGAATCATTTGGCAAAACAGCTCTACATATATTGTTTATTAAAATATGATCTCACGTAATACCACACAGGGCCTGCAGAGCGAGTTGAAGCTAGGAGAAGTAGCTATTATCAGCTTCACCCCCACACTAACCCCTTGTGAGAGCACGTTTTAAGGAGTTTCACATGTAAAGCTATTTCAAAAATACCCGTTTGGCACAAATCAATTTCAGACTGCTCGTAAAGCTACTAGAGAAGTTGTGCCAAACAGGGCCTTAGATATATACATATTAAGGTAAAGTGTCTAAAAAAACCAAAACATCTTATAACTTGGAACAAGGGAGTAGGAATTTCAACCATTACAGTTGTTTGCAACACATGCAGTCCAACCATTACAGTTGTTTGCAACACATGCAGTCCAATGAAACTACTGGAGAGGTCCCCCCATTCATCCGGGAGCCACATTTAGCAAGCTTACGTGAGCTGCCATCTTAATTACAATCAGGACAACAAACTTAGTATCATTGGTGATGTTCAAATAATTAGATTTTTATGTCTTTTCTTTTATATAGGTCAAGGAAAAAAACAAAATCCAAGCGTGGGCTGGTATGGCAATAAAAAAATTTGACCCAATAAGATCACCAGGCCAGGTAACTTTGGATTACCGTCTCCAAGTTGTTGTTTGAAACTCCTTTCTTTTTAATGAAAAACGCGCTTCGGCGTCGTCGGAAAAAAAAAGATCACCAGGCCAGGTTGGAACCGGTCCAAACCAGCAGGCAAGCCTGGGCTGGCAGTCCAATAGTTTATTTCAGGCCCTAGGTGATGTTCTTAATTAATGTATATATATTTTCCTTCCTCTGTCTATACTTTCCCAGATATCCTAATTGCAAATACGTGTATGAATATTCTTTTACATTTTCACAGCAGAATCCATGTGGTGTTTGTCATCATGAAAAAAATAAAGAAAAAATCAAAACCGGCAAGCAGGTCTGTCCGTGTTTGAACTGCAAATTAAAGAAAAGGAAGTACACTGAGTCTGAGGACCAACGATTGTCGAGAAATTTCAGGGAAACCGGTATTGGTTTATTAAGATGGACCTAGTCTGAGGACCAGAAAAGCTGATCGAGATGGTATTTTGTCCCAAGAAGACTTCGTGACCTGAGAACAAGTGTAGAAAGGGCAAAAATTGACCTGATCTTTGCATTATTGCAACTTCTTTACGTCTGGGTGCATGCTTGTCGTCTTGGGTAGAGTAACAAATTGTAGGGCCGGGTCACCTTCTCATTCATTTTTTTCCCCTCGTGAGAGTGAGAGAGTCTGCCGAGTGCCGACTGCATGCCTTGTTACAACTTCAACGAAGAAAGCGCGTGTCAACTTGGCCAAATCTGTCAACTCACCCTTTCTTTTTCAGAGAAATGACAACCTCATAGCACGGCAGGGAGACTGTCTCACTCTCACGTCTGAACGAAGTCTAAAACAATCCATGCATTGCTGGTTTTAGATGTACCATAAACAAGATGCTAGCTGGTGCCTTTAAGGCTGTGTGTGACTCATCAAACATGCAATTCAGTGGTAACCTCTACCACTGACATATACCGCACTTGTTTAAGCCTTAGTTCTTTCAGAACTTTCCACAAAAGTTCTACCAAAATGTCGCTGCAGATTTCACTGAAGACAACACTTAGGTAGTTAGGTGTTAGGAATATGGAGAAGGCGCCTATGGAGAATGTCTTTTTGCGCAGCTGTCAAGCTCCAATTGGGCAGAACAGAACTGGCTTGAGAGCTGCTAATATAAGGACTGTTTTTACTTGTTCAGAGATAAGGTAAAATAGGTTCAGTGGAGGGTCACAAGCTACCTATTTGAGTGCTGAATCCACTATGTGATTAAGGAAATGGACCCTCTTTAGTTTGTTATTACAACTCTGCAGCCCACGCTGGCTGCTCTTGAAGATATAAATGAAAAGCCGGTACGTACTGGATTGGTGGATAGCTGAGCTGAGGCAAAGTCCTCAAGTAGGTCGCAGCAGGAAATTCCCTCCCAGCATCATCGATCTGCGCCACGTCAGCATCCAATACGCAAGCAGCAACAGCATGCACTGCACTTGCACGCCGATAAGATCTCCTCTTGATCACAATGTACCTGTACTTTTTTTTTTGGTTCTTTTGAGTCACTGTAAAAAAAGATGTCATTCTGAGTCACCTTTTACATGACATGAACCTTCTCATTCTGAATCACCTTTTGCCTGCATGCGTGCCCATCGAGGAAATTCAGTCTGCTTGCGTTTGGAGGTTCAGTCATCAGAGGGCCCCCTGCCAATGCAAATGGAAATGCACAGGAAAGAAACAACGCAGCGCATGCGGATCAATTGGTCATTACTCCGTACATGTATTTTATTATACTTTTCTAGTCTAGGTATAAAAAAGCTCATCCTTTGTGCTACTAATATATAACGAAGCACTTTTGGTGTGTGGAAAAAGCCGGATATATAGCGAAGATGGGCTACAGCTACTCACCACCACTGTGCCTGACGCCTGTGCGTGGATGGATGCTGCTTCAGAAGCCTCAATCGCGACCCACTTGTTCATTCGTCCACAGCAAAGTCCCTATAAAAATAGCCGCCGAGCACGATCCAGTCATCCAGAGCTCCATGTGAACCCCATGGATGCAGCCGAACAGTGATTGCCAGCAGGCTAGCGCAACGACCACACTAGTTCGACTATTTCAAGAAAGCCTGTGCCTGGAGAGGATCGGAGAGAGCTCAGGTAGCTAGATGGCGAGGCTACGCTTGACTGTGGTCGCCCTGGCCTTGTGCTGCTGCTGCCTCATCCACGCGCCCACGACGACAGGTGCTGCCGTCGACGCCTCATTTCCTCGTCCTGGTAAGTGGTGACCCGCCGGCCCTTCTGAATGAATCCTCCGTCCGTGTGCTCTGCTCGATCGTTGTGCTAAAGCAGTTCTCTGAAGATTTCTGTTTCTCCTCATGCATGCACCTTTCACTTCAATTTGAGCAGGACTGGAGGTGGTGCAGGAGGATACTAGAGTGGCAGTGGCTCCGCCATCGTCGTCGTGCGGCGCGGACGACGATCAGGTGGTCGGCTGGCTTCGCTTACCAATTGTCTCTCTCGATCTTATGTTAGATCAATTGACCACAGCTGTTGTTTTGGGACTATCCGTGCTTGTAATCTGATGGCTTCAATTAGCTATATGTTCCAGTACGTGTAGTTTCAGACTGAGTGACGCATGCAGTGAGTGACATGATTCGTCTTGTCTTGTATCATTTCAGGCCGTCGTAGCCGGAGAGGTGGAGGCGGCCGGCGGGAGGACGAGGATGGATCTGGAGCTGGAGGACTACCCGGGGTCCGGCGCCAACGACCGCCACTCGCCCTGGGCCCAGCAGCGAAGGAACTGATGCATCCATGATAGACGACCTCTCTCTCTCTCTCTCTCTCTCTCTCTCTGATGATACGTACACAGCCGCAGTTTCTTCAGAGCTAGTTCCACTACTGTACGATCGATGACTATACTGTATATGTATTTTGTACACGCTGTCGTTACATACATACCAATACCAGGGTCCAGGGGTACTTGTGTTGTGTGTGTCTCTCACTGTCACGTAGCATATGCATGGCCGGCCGAGAGTCATCGACAGCAAGCGTCTGCTTGCTCAGCTACTTGATTTTGACTGCAATTTTTTTTTCTTTTCTTTTTCTTTCATATAAAAATACAGATTTGTCAGGACGCGTCCTTGAAGCAGATGAGGCCGGCCGTATACTCGTACTGAAAATAGTTCTACCATGACTGACGTGAGAGGTCGCCTAAGCGTGTTGAATTATTAGCTGCCGGACTATCCGTGGAGCGAATACGGAATATCTGGGTGGGTTGATTAACCATTTTTCATGTGGGGCGGGGGGATGCATGATTTCCCGTCCCTTTCGTTGATCGTTGTCTGTGTGATGGAGACGTTAGTTGTGGGTGCCCTTCGGAATGGGTTGTGAGAGCTGGATTATTGTGGAGGTTGGGTTGGATTCAAACGGTCGTTTGGACTGGATACAAATCAGCTTGAAACCTAAGTATCACTACTGGATTCAGGTTCTTTGTCGAGTGCCTGAGGCACTCGGCAAAGGCTTTGCCGAGTGCGGCACTCGGCAAAGCACACACGGCAAAAAATTGATCGGCAAATCACTCTTTTCCGAGTGTATTTTATCGGGCACTCGGCAAAGGCTTTGCCGAGTGCCTCGGGGGCACTCAGCAAAGCAAAGCGACTGTCACGGCGCCGGTCCCGTTGACGGTCACTTTGCCGAGTGTCAACCCGTGAGGCGCTCGGCAAATTTTTTTTTAAAATTTCTTTGCCGAGTGCCAAACCGTGAGGCACTCGGCAAAGGGCTTTTATTTTTTTTTGAAAATTTTCTTTGCCGAGTGCCAACCCTCCAGGCACTTGGCAAAGATTTTTTATTTTTTTTAAAAAAAATCTTTGCCGAGCGCCAACCCGGCAGGCACTCGGCAAAGAGCTTTTATTTTTTTTTTGAAAATTTTCTTTGCCGAGTGCCAACCCTACAGGCACTCGGCAAAGATTTTTTATTTTTTTTAAAAAATTCTTTGCCGAGCGCCAACCCGGAAGGCACTCGGCAAAGAGCTTTTATTTTTTTTTTGAAAATTTTCTTTGCCGAGTGCCACCCCTCTAGGCACTCGGCAAAGATTTTTTATTTTTTTTAAAAAAAAACTCTTTGTCGAGTGCCAACACGGCAGGCACTCGACAAAGTTTAAATTTTTTTTAAAAATTTCTTTGCCGAGTGTTATAGTCACAGCACCCGGCAAAGCTAGAAAATCTGGTTTCTGGTTGCCCATTTTGCCAGCTTTGCCGAGTGTTGTGACCATTGCGCTCGGTAAAGACGTCCTTTGCCGAGTGCAACACTCGGCAAAGTGACCCAAAACGGCAAATTTTTTTTTTTTTGCATTCCATCATGATAAATACATTCATACAAACATATATCACATATATATCTCATCCATCACATATATATCTCATCCATCCGCCCATATCACATCCATCACAATATATAATAATAAGTGCTCAAGTCCATCCAAATAAGTTTACAAGTCCATCAAAGTCCACAAGTGCATCACAAGTATATCACAAGTCCATCACCAAGTGAACAACAAATGTAAAAATACAACATGCACTCATCTCGCCATCATGATTGTGGTGAAGGCCCGGATGCATCATTAAAGTAGGTGCATAAGGTGGATTATTGAACCACCGTCCGATGGAGACGCACAAAGGAGAAAAAAAGATTGCATGTGAGACAATATTTTGATAGCTAATCTAGGACGATAGAGGCCATACAAGCAAAGCACAAGCGAAAGTAAAAAACTTTGATACTCACAGGAGTAGCTGCAGCTGCAGGACGCGGAGGCGGAGGTGGAACCAACAGCCCAGGTGGCAGAGACAAGCCCATATATTGCCCAAACCCTTGTAGGAAATCTGTAATGTCCATCAGCCCTCTGCGCTGGGCACGCCGCCGCCCGCTCGGCCTCAAGCTGGGGCCCTCACCCACAGCGTTCCTTCATTTCTTGTTCCGGCCTGGCCTGCAATATTTCACTCCAATGTTTCAAGAATGCAAAGCTAATTAAGGTGTGTAAAGATCAATGTATGACGAGTAAAACAGAATAACCTCGAGTCGTCGACCGGTCTTTGTCGGCGGTTGGCCGTGTGCGAATGGCCGGGCTCTCGCTCGTGCTCCGTGCTCGGATCTGGGAGAGAGAGAGAGTAGAGGCTGTGTCGATGACGCCGTCGCCAAGCCAGAACCGCCCATGCTTCTTGCCTTGCCCCGCCCTCATGACGGCCTCTCCATCGAAGTCCTGGGTGCTCGGATCGTGGTCTACCCCATGGAGCGACCTCGCCACCTCAGTGTACTCACTGATGCGGGAGTGGACGCTCGGGTTTGTGTATGCCTCGGGCGGGTCCTCCAGGTTGAAGGAGACGTCGGACATCGCCTTACCCTTGTGGGCCATACACCATGCCTGGAAGTCCGAGCAAGCCTGGCCACTATGTGACGCCGACTGCGAGAAAGATAGCACGATGATTAGAAATCAGACAGAACTGAGCGTGACAATAGATAAATCAATTCGCGTACCCATGCTTGTTTGTATCCGGCGAGGTTGCGGCTACCTTGATGGTGTGCTGGACCTTGCATCAGTAAACGATGGTCCCGGGCATCCCTGTGCATCTTGAGGTACTCCTCCGTGAACCACCTGTCCACCATCATCGCCCAACACTCGGGATACGCTTGGCACCACCAGGGAATCACCTACACGTCATCAAGTATTGGACATATAAGAAGATCAAATTAAACCAACTTAATCTCAAATCGAATCAATATTGATGTTCTTCATTTACCTCAAGGTCTTCGCTCCCGGGTTGCATCTCTCTTGCGTCTTTCTTGGTTTTCCTCTCTCAAGCTTGACCCGTAGTAGGTTACGATGCTTTGGATCGCGCCTCGTGATGCATGTCGGTGATGAGTTTTTTACGGGCTTTGGTAGTCGCTTTGCTCCGCCTACGGCCTCAAATCCTCCTCGCATCTCGTAATAAGTCCGCATACAAAAGCGATGTATCGATTCATTATTTCAAGAAAAGTCCAATGAATGCGACGTATTGAGCAATGTTGTGCAAGAGAGACTTATCAAAACTCGCCTTCACCGCCCGCTCCGCCTTGTTGGGGTACTCCGCGATCGGAGGCGACGGCGTAGTGGTCAAGCGAGTAGGCCGGCTCGTCTTTCGGCGCGCACGTGACAATGCCGGGAAGTCTTTGCTGCCGCATGAAGACTCAGGATGCCGTTGACTAGCCGTGCGCTACCACCCGACACAACCACCCGGTTCTGCACAAGTAATTAAGAAAAATTATTAGTTTTTTCATCATATCATATGAAGTAGTGGTGATAACATATCTGATTACTTACTTTTTTGTCCTTGAGGCGAATCCTTTGGGCGTTGGTGAGGAAGCGGAACTGTGGGAGGCTCGCGGGACCTCGCAAGTAGACACTGAAGAGGAGTTGGAGGAAGCGGAACTCGAGAGCCGCCGCCTCCCCCCTCCTCCTCCTCCTCCACCACCTCCTCCTCCTCCGTCTGCCGAACCAACTCCTCGTCTAACTCGTCCCACAGGTGCCACTCCTCCTCCTGGGTGGCGGTCCTCCTCACGTGGCGTGGGAGGAGACGGCCCCCCTCCTGTGGCTAGCGGTCCTCCTCCTCTTGTTCGATCCTCTCCGCCCCCCCTCCCCCTCCTGCGACCAAGGCGTGGTCTTTGGTAAATCGAGTTCACGGACCTATGACGGTCGCCCGCCATCTTTGTTCAATCACCGCAATAAAAAAGAAAAAAACAAGACGTAATTAGAAATAGGTGCAAAAATAAACAAAACATAATTACAAAAACATAGTATTACATGTATTAGAAATATATGCAAAAATGAACAAAACATAATTACAAAAAATATAATATTACATGTATTAGAAATAATCTTCATGATTGAAATTATTTGGATCATAGGTCTCGTCATCACTATCAACATTGTCCAACTCATCAACACTATCCAGAAGGAGGAATGTTGTCTTCATTGTCATTTGCCGAAATGTAATCGCTCAAGCATTTGTATGTCCTTGATTTACGCACCTCGTCTCCAGGCGTCCTCGTCATCATCCCTTTCATTATCTACTTCCATTCCTATCTCTTGGTTAAGTCTATGTCAAACCTCCCTTGTAGCCCCTCTTCTTGATAGAACTCTCCATCATATGTGTTTGGGTTGAAGTTGTAATCTTCATCGTTTTGGGACGGTGTAGTTTACCGTGTGGCGATACCTTATGCACAATAGACCAACCCTTAAGATGCTCGGCGTCTTTGCACGCGTATGACGTATAATAAACCTGGACGGCCTGTTGAGACACAATGTAGACATCTTTTCCTGGATAGACGGAATCCTGTCGAATCTCGACTAGCCCAAGCTTAGGGGTCCGTCTCGTTACACCAGGATGAAACCAGTGGCATTTGAATATCACAGGAGTAAGAGGTTTGGAACCATAAAATGACAGTTCGTAGATTTCTTCAATTCTTCCATAATAGTCGAGTCTATCAGTGCCGGGCGTAACAACTCCGCTGTTTGTGGTTTGTCGATTGGGCCGACTATGCTCGTAGCTTGCTGTGTGAAAACGATATCCATTCACGTCATAACCGGTAAATGACTTGACCCTAACGGCACAGCCATTTGCAACCTGTCTTAACTCATCACTTATAGGCGCATCAGTTTGGGCTTTCTGTTTGAACCAACAAATGAAATCAGGGCTCCCTGGTCCCGCACCCTGTGAAAGAAGGGTATCATTTTCTTACGGGGTAGGTTGCCTTGATCCATGCCAGGATTGAC